AAATGGAATACAGGGGAGACTTCCTCAAGTTGCTAAAGGACATCTGAAGAAAACTATAGCTAACATCCTGCTTAATAGTGAGAAACTATGTTTTTTAAAGATCATAAACAAGGCAAAGATATCCTTTCTACTGCTCAACTTTCACATTATATTGGAAGGCCTAGCAAATGCAATAGGATAAGAAAAAAACAAAATACATACAGACTGAGGGGGGGAAACTTGTCTTTTTTCACAGATGATAATTGTCTATGTAGAAAATATTAAAGAAATGACCAAAAACCATACTGAAACTAGTAAGTAATCATAGCAAAGATATAGGATACAAAGTAACAGACAAAAGTCTATTGCTTTCTTATATAACACCATTTACATAAGTGCCAAGATATGAAAGAGAGAAAGAGGGAGGGAAAGAAGGAAGGAGAGAGGAATTGGGGGAGAAAGGTATAAATGTAAAAAAAAAAAATTTTTTGCAAGATATGTATGAGGAAAAGTACAAAGCTCTAATGAAAGCAATCAAAGATCTAAATAAATGGAGAGATATTTCATTCACATGGGAAAGAATATTAAGTTTATCCCAACTTGATCTATAAAGTCAACTACATTCCAGTTGAAACCTCAGAAATTTGTTTATTAAATAATGATAAACTGATTCTAAAGTTTAGATATAGATGCAAAAGACCCCAAAATAGACAACACAACTTTGGAGATGATCAAAGTCACAGGGCTGACATTTTCTAACTTTAAAACTTACTATTAAGTTCTAGAAATCAAGACACTATGATACTGGAGAAAGAATAGATAGATAAGTGAAACAGAATAGAGAGCCCAGAAACAGAGGTGCATAAACATAGTCAACTGATCTTTGACAAAGGAGCAAATGCATTATGACAGAAAATACAGGCTTTTTTATAAATGATATTGGAACAACTGGACATGCAGATGCCAAGCATAAAACCATACCCCAACCTTACATCTTACAAAAGAATTAGTTCAAAATGAATTAGAAACTAAATGTAAAATTCAAAACTATGAAACATCTAGATAGTAACACACTTAAGGTTTTTTGTGTATGTATGATTAATAAGAATTTTTTTTAATTAGATGGCCAATGAGTTTTTTGGCATGATTCCTAAAAAAATTGATAAGCCATAATTCATTAACATTAAAAACTCTTCTAGGAAAGGCACTGTTAAGAGAAGGAAAATACAAACCCCAGGCTGGGGAAAAAGTAGTTGCAAAACATATATTTGATAAAGAACTTTCTGTTCAAAATACACAAAGAATCCCTAAAACTTAACAATAAGAAAAAAAAATACCTGGCTAAAAATTAGGTAAAAGATCTAAACAGACACTTCACCAAAGATATATAGATGGAATATTAGCATATGAAAAAAATGTTGCACACCCGGTGTCACTATGCAGTTGCAAATTAGAACAAGACACCACTATATATCTCTGGAGAATGGCCCAAATACAAAATACTGACAATACTGAATGCTGACTACATGTGGAGCAACAGGAACTCATTAGTTGCTGGTGATAATGAAAAATGGTTCAGTCACTTTGGAATATAATTTGTCAATTTCTTCCAAAGCTAAACAGAGTTTTTACAACATAATCCATAATCACACTCCTAGGTATTTATTCAAGTGAGCTGAAAACTAACATACACACACACACACACACACAAAAATTCATCTAAATGCTTTTAGCAGCTTTATTTAATATGTCCCTAAACTGGAAGCAACCAAGATGTCCTTCAACTGAGGTTTGAGGGTCCAGAGAAGTCAGCAATGCTAGTTGAAGAATAGGCATAAATTTCTTTGCTTGTTTGTTGAGAGGGGTCTTGCTATGTAAAACAGGGTGATCCTCCTGTCTAAGTCTCCTGAGTTGATGGGACTACAGGTACATGACAATATACTCAGTAGGCATAATTTTTTTTTAAATTTAATAGTAAATTAAAAACTTGCCCAGTGACCAAATTACACCTTCAATTTCTCAAAGTAGATGGATTCTTCTATATTTCCAGATGATGTAATTTTATTAGAATCATCAATGGCATGACTAATGAACTCAATTTTTTAAAAAAATGATGCAAAAGCACTACTTTGATTTTTAAATAGACTAAAAATTTGGGGTTACACTTTTATATTCAAGGTATATTTTTAATGTAGTAAATGTGTCTATAAAAGTAGAATATTGTTTTCAATATGTAACTAAAACACATGAAAATGATTTTTTAACTTAAGTTCATAAGTACATGCTTACAAGTAATACTTCATGTTATCATGAACTTAAAAAGTCACCTATTCTTCCAAAAGCTTTAAAAATGTACAGTAAAAAGTAAATGGATTCTTCATGTTTGTCCTGTAAAAACCTTATGAGTTTATCTTTGCACATTCATTTTGACCTGATAGTTCTATGATCACATGAGAACAGGCATCATGAAGGATAAGAGGAGGAACACATGGCCTATAGATCTGTCTTACTGAGTCATAGAAAGGCAGGAAGCTGGTCATGTGTAAGATCAAAAAATGGCGTGACTAACTGCCCACTATGTTAAAATATTGACTTTAATACCAAGAGATTATTGAAAATTAAAAGAGGAAAACACCTGAAATTATTTCAGCCAAAAAGACATTATTTTAACCACTTTACATTTCTAACTGAAAACAATAACCATTAGGTTATATTTATAAACTATTCTACTCTTCTATTTAATGGATTTATGTGCTTTACAATCCAAACTTCCTTTTCATTAAGAACAGGCCTTGCATTTTATATATGACTAGTAAGAAAGGCAAGTTAGTGCCAAAAAACAGTCTGAATCCAGTCTCATCACAAATATAAAACTCAGGCCAACTCTTCTCTAAACTTTTAAAGTAACTTTGTTTTATTTATTTATTTACTTTGTTTTTTTAGTGTGCTAATACAACTGATTTTTTTTTCACTTTGACTGATAACATAAGAAAGGTGGATGGATCCATGCACATTCACTTTAGTGAGAGTCAATGAATATAAGATATTTGAAAATTATTTTCTCCCCATTCAATTCCACTCTGTAGCCATAAGATAAAGAAATAGAAAAAAAACCCCACTGAAATCACTAAGCATACTTTCAAATAAAACCAGTACTTATTCTTATAATAAAATAATATACCTTTTGAAAATTGTTATTTTGTGTATTGTTTCTCCTGTGGCATGACTTTGTGCCCACCCATCCCATTCTTTTGCATGGCATAAATAAAACTCACTTAGGACAATGTCAAATTTTTGAGACAAATTCTCATGATCTGACAAAATGGCAAAGCTCTCATCATCCTTAATTGAAGCAACAAGATTAAGTCTTCACCAGTTTATTTGTACTGTATCCTTCACAGAATGTTGGGAATTAAGTAAAACTATTGTCTCCTTTTCTCATTCTATTATTTTATAGACTCTAATGATGTCTTACTAATTCTCATTCACATAGTTATCCCCATTCCAAAACTCTTTTAGTAACCAGGAATGGCTGGATGGCACAGATGATCCATATGAAAACACAAGATTTCCCTCTGATTGGGACAAGTTGTAATAGTTCCTCACATTTCCTGTATGATGCTTATAGAAGTAGGCAGGAAAATTCTACAAGAATGGCTACAATAAGTTTCTATATACTGAGTAACAGACTTTAGATTCAGTGTGATTATATAGACATAAAATCTAAATAAAAGGTATCAGACAGACAAGAATACTCAGTTCCATAATCATTGTATTTACACATGCAAACTGAGTGAAGACTGTCAATTTAGATTTTTTGAAAACACACATTAATGGAATACAATGATCAAAGATAAAATGTTTAAAGCTGAAATATGCAGGAGAAATAATAAGAATTTGAAATTACTTGGAGGGAGAGTTTAAGAATGATATGACTTTCTCCTTCACCATAAGGCGATATCTGCTTGTATTTTAAAAAGAGAGAAAAGAACACAGAAAACTGTTTTTAGAGGGGAATATGTTAACATTTACAAAACAATCCCACATTCAAAAGTTAAATTAGCATCTGTAAGATAAAACGCTTTTTTTTTCCTCAGGAGTTAAGATAACCAGCTAGAATTAGCTCTCTAGGATTATGTCACAGAAAAATCTTTTGATGTAAGATCATTTAAATCTGACTTGTAGCAATGAAGAGGCTCTAGCTCTGGGAATATGGCAAGAGGAAAAGAACTCTGACTTTTTTTTTTTTTTTTTTGAGAATAAGAGCTTATCTCATAATTCATAAAAGGAATGATTACATTTTTAAAAAGTTAAGACAGGGAGATGAGAAGGATGAAAGAAAATATAAGAAAAACAGGTGAAGAACAATTCAGGAAATTAAGTGTATGCCATTAAGTTATTAAAAAAAAAAAACCACCAATGGAGGGGACACATCAAGGATTTAATATAGGGAAATTTCCTGAACTGAAGAGGCTCTCATTTGAAAGGGCCCATCAAAGGTTATCAGAACTATGAACATTGCCCACACTCAGAAACACAGTTATCAAGCTCACGGACACCGAGGGGAAGGGTGAAGTAAGGGGTCTCTGGCTTCCACATTCATTCCTTTGATACTAAGTGACTTTTTAAGCATCAGCCATGTATTATTTGATGAAAAACATTAAATATTTAATCATGATAAACATTAAATTCTATGTGGATTCAACAAATTATACTTATTTATAATTATACTTGAATATTTCAGATTATAAGTCTAAAAAGCTATACGCATATATACATATGATCTTGAATGCTGTGATTGTATTGACAAATGAATAAAATCTCTATCTCACGTGCTTTTGAAGTTTACATACTTTATATTTAAAATTTTCAAAAGAAATACGAATGAAGTTAAACCCATGATCACGCTCTTTAACTTTGTCTTTAGTCTTTGCCAAAACTGTACCACCACTGCACAAATATCTGAATGTAGAAAAATACATTGAAGGCACAGAAAAATATGGCCTGCAGGACATAATTACCTGCCGTGGGATCAGTGACAGCTTGACTTGTGATGCCGGATGGAGGTTCCTGAAGCTGGTAAGTGGCATTGGTGGACGGTGTCGTCGGGCTGGTGTTGCTGCTTGTCATGTAATGGGCTGGATATGGTGAGCTGTTGTAATACTGTGCATACTGACCCTGGCCAAAACTGGGGTAAGATGGATAGTCCTACCAAACCAAGAGACACAAGAATAATCTGTCAGAATTCTTATATTCAAAAGTACAATTATAAATGTTTTTCTGTGTCTTTTCTGAATTCATACACATTCACTGATGAGCTCAAACTTGCAAATTTTATGTAAGATTATAGACATTCTTCATATAATCTTCTAGGATGCAGTACTTGTAAAATTAAAACAATGGGAAAACCAAATAACTCACCAAAAGAGACTGCTAAAGAGATTTTTTTAAGGGGGGGGGGCAGGAAAAACAACTATTAAAAAGCTTGGAAACGTTCTTATAGTTTAATATAAACAGATCGTTCTTTATATAATAAAATCATGTTGTATTTAAAAATATTTCAGAAGTTAAATTGGCTTTTTTAAGTTACCTGCTGTGAACTGTTAAATCCAGAGGAATTTGTGAGGGAATTATTTCCTGTATATAATCCTGATGATGTTGTAAAACTGCTACCTAAAACAAAATGAAAAGAAATATAGCTTACTAAACTATATAGAAAAATGTGACTACTGAAAAATATCATTTAGGTAAGGCCGAGTTGGAGTTTATTTGATTAAACACTAGAATCCATTGCCATGAATACAATTTTATTTTCTTATAAGGGTTGAAGACTATGGTCACCATATAACAAAGAATTAAAAAGTGAAGAAGTTCAATTTCTGAGTTCATGAGTAACTCACATAAACTAAGGACAAAATTATATACATGTACAAAAATATTAGACACTGAATTTTCCTTTTTGATTTGTAAAATATAGCAAGATTTTTTTTAGATCTTTACATTAAATAGGCATAATGTAAAATGAAGGGATCTAATTAGGTGTTCTTTAAGCTTCTTACTAACTCAAAAATTCTAATGCTACTTTCAAAAACTTAAAATGTTTTCAGATATCATTATTCAGATGTCTATTATAATGGCCCACAGAGAAAGCTATTTCATTATTATATTTCACAGAAGAGTGAACGACAGCACTTGAAGAATTTATTACAATGAAGATCAAAGAGGAACACACTCAGTGTTTTATCCATTACATGCACCATGAAGGTAGCATTCTATGTGTTGAATGTCCAAATTGTTCAACAATAAACAGCAGACACTATGCAAGACACAACCTAAGAGAAAATCTTAGTCTCCTTTTCACATTATTCACCATCAAACTGCTAATTTGTACATAAAAACATATGCTATTTTTGATGATGCTTTTAGCAAAGATTTTTGCAACTGTACAAAAAGGGTATTAATAAACTACAAAATGGAAATTTAAGTAGGCAAAATTTTATGTTTCGCTACTTAATGACTAAGAAATTTTGTGTACCATTTTACTTCCAGGCAATTTTACTGCCAGGAATTTACTCTGAGAGAAAAAGAGATTTTGGATTTATTCAAAGAGATAGTTGGCAAAGATGTTCTTCAGTGTTGCTTTTAACAAAACACAGAAAATGTCCTTAATAATGCCATTCAGAAAATAGAATAGTATCAAGCTGTTGATGATGTTTAATAACATGGTGAAATTTTCTTTATTCTTTTGTGAAAGAAAAAACTAAAATGACAAAAAGTATTTTTGGGTGATTTGTTTTAAAATCCTTCTTAGAGTATAAAATTCTTTAAAGAACATTAAAATCTTGCATTATATCTGAATGAGATCACTAAGCCACTGTACACTTCTAAAATGTCTATTCAGAACCTGTGCTGCTTTCTGCACTCAGAAATAAAAGTCATTAAAAAAAAATAAACTAAAGCTTTATCACAAATTAGTGGGACAGGCAATATATGTGCAGGCAGATCAAGGAGGAAGTCTTTGATATACACTTGTTATTTTCTGGTGGCTTTAGGTATAAAACATTGTAGTTGGTATATTCCAATTATTTACTGGCTGCTAAACATTTATGTACTGGCTCAAGAGTCAGAAACAGATTGAAGTTTTGGTTTCATCACTTGTGAGCTGTTTGGACTTTGGACAAGTCAGCTAATCACTCTAAGATACAATTTCCTTATCTGTAAACAATGGTTTGTAAACATCAAATAAGATGTTTTAGAAAACACAATGAACACACTATCACACAGATATTAGGCATTGTTATTAGGTGTTCTGGAGAACATTTCTCAAATTCTCAACTGAATTCATGTATTTTCCCCCTCTTTTTATTTTCTCAAATTAGATAGGTATGACTTAATCTCTTTGCATATCTAAAATTATCTTCCTTATTATTTACTTATTAAAGCATCTTTGAATTTTGAAAGACTGATCCAAGAAAGTTATTTTTATTAACTAGGAAAATATTTCCTAAGGTAGTTTCAAATTTGATTATCACATAGACTCACATTTGAGGCTTTTTTCATTGTTAAAGTTCCCAGAACAACTATCTCAGACAAGAGAGAGTTCTCACATTGCTAATAATCCAACACAAACTGCAGATCCTCAATAGATATTTTTCCATAGTAAGCTCATTTACACGAGACAATCACATACTTATCAAAAGTATATTAAATATCAGGCCTATCCATAGTAATGATTTCATGGGAATAAAAATGTGACTATGACACGAACTGGGACCTCACAAGACTTATCAGGATGATATGAGTTTTATTTTGCTTTTTTAAACATTACACTTCATGGGCATATGACTCCTTAAATATTTGTATATCAGAGAATAATTGGTTAATAATGACATCATATAAAGCAAATTTATAAATAAGGAGAATTTATGACTTCCTTGTGAAATAAAATTGAAATATCTTTTGGATATGTGTAGGCTTTTTAACTTTAGTTATTATATGTACTTGATAGGAAAAATTTCTTTAGGTTATGACCTGTTACTTTCATTTAAACTACACATTTTTAGGTTATGACTTGCTACTTTCATTTAAATGACACATTTTTGAGCAATAAATACTGACCTCAATAATCCCCATTCACCAAGAAAATGAATAAGATGTAGAAAATATGTTTTAAAAATGGATGTTTTCATTCCATAAGTTATTCCTTGGAACAAAGTAGAAAAGACCGTGGAAGCTCTATTGGCACATACGGACCACTAGAGTATGACCAAGTAAATCACAGTTCAGTACTCCAAATGGTACCCAAGTGACTTTCCAGACTAATGCTACTTCTAAGACTGTACATTAGCTGGAATTCAACATAAGTTATATTCATTTACTGGCTGAGTTCAGGCTGAGATTCCATTCCATTTAGTGTGCTGAAGCAGGAGTTTAATGGCACCCCAGTGGCCTCAGGGGCTTAATGCAACTTCCAAAAGGATCTCACTTGCTTTAGGGAGAGGCATACCTACTAGAGAATCAGGTTCAGGCAATTTTAATTTTTCACCATCAGAAACCAAATTTGCAGGGCTACTCCACCTGCCTCTACATAGGATTTAGGCAAACAGAGCCTGCTCACTTAGTCCAGGCTACCAGCATTAGATTTTGGCCACAGCCTCAATTACTGGTTTCCTTTCCATTCACCAGCCCTCACTAGTTCATCCTCTGCAAAAGTAGCAGAGTCTTTCTCTAATGTGCATGACTGATCCTGTCACTCCCCTACTTAAAAAAGTAACCTTTAGTGGCTCCCTGTTTGCCCTCAGGATAAAAGTCAAACTCCTTACCAGGGTTTATTTATTAGGCTTTAGCTGGTCTGGTCCCTATTTATCTTTTGAACTTATTTGATCTCTTTCCAGCAACCCCCACCTCCCCAGATACACATTCCAGCTTAACACTAGTGAACCACCATGCAGTTCTGCTAATGCTACTCCTCATGGCTTCTACTTCCTCCTGTCAAATCTGGCTAACTTCAATGAAAATTCATAATTCAGTATGGGCAATATACTACATATGTGTGTGTATATTATATACATATGTATTATGCACATATTATATGTTATACTATATATGTATATTAAAAGAAAAATAGAAGTTATAAGAATAATAAAACTTAAATATTTCTGAGTGCTGACATTGAATCCAAATAAAATATTTTTTACCTGTTATTACTGATTCCTTACAGCCACCCAACACCCACACAAACATCAAGAAGTAGATCTGATCACACTCCATTTCACAGATGCAGATACTGCTCAAGGTTATGAGCAGATGTGGGATTCAATCCGAGGCCATTTGGCTCCAGAGTGGAAGCTCCTAATCGCCACTGTATGTTGCAAGGATTTTTTCCTTATAATTCTTTTTTTTTTAAGACAACATATTCAAAATATAGCTGACAAATGGCTCCCAAGTCAACAGATGGTACCTGTTGAAAGGCACTTATCTAGGCCTCTCCCCGGTGCCTATGTTTCAGTACCAATTTCAGTAGATGTTCTAGGAACTACTTCAAAAACATGTAACCAGTATGAGATTTCTTTTTGCATACAAAAATGTAATCATAGTCTTCAAGAAGTCGGAGAAGAAGCTTCTTAGAGTTTCTCTGTATGGGGTGTTTGTGGTCTTGAGCTGAGATGAAGATATTGTGGAACCAAAACTCTGACAGCTGCTCCAATGAAGCCTGCAGCGCCAACACTGGGTTGCACTGAAGTTCAGAATGTCAAAAAGCAAAGGCAAAGTAGCAATGACCATGCTCCCCGGAAGGCTGCAGAGTATAGGCTTCTAAGCCCACTCCCCACTCTACGCAGCCAGAAAGAAGCACATTTGTGCAGGAGATTGTTGTACACCAGACTTAAATCTGGATGCTACAGGGGAAACAGGACAAGAGAGAACACTCTTCCACTAGCATCCATTCCCTGAGAGACTCTGTGGGACTTAGAAGAGTCTTCACTTTTAACCTCAGGTCAGAAAATCAGGCTTAATGTTCAGAATTCCTTTATCAAAATAATATAGAAGTTATTTTCCTTCTTAGACACAAATGACTATGTGAAATATCACCTCCAGATAAATAAAATGCAGCATGAATATCCTGTGATAAAACATTTTATATTTTTATGTCACATGAAATCATGAAAATTCCCCAAGGTAGAAAGAATTCCCACTCAGAACCCATTACATCTCCATCAAGGAGCCTGGCAGACATTGGATCAAGAGACACCTCCAGTAATACTTGGTAGAGTCTCAAATTAATTTATGCTTCAAGCAGGGAAAGAGAAGGGATACCTTCTTACCTAGTAGTTAAAACAAAAATCTGGGCTGGGGATGTAACTCATTGGTAGAGCACTTGCCTAGCATGTGTGAGGCCCTGAGTTTAATTCCCAGTACCATAAACAAACCAACAAACAAATAAAATCTTATATACTAATTTACTATTTTGAACAATCACAGCCATACTTTTGGGAGAGCATGGAGAGGATACATTTATTTCTAAAAATATATTTTTTAAGTCTTTCTTTTCAGAACATCTGAAAGACATGTTTTTTTTTTTTCCCATCCACTGGCCTCTTTTTAAAGTAGACATTTTTTATACTATGAGTGGTTACATGTTTCTTTTGCGAGGGAGGGTACCAGGGATTGAACTC